ACCCTAGAAGCACACGCTGGCTTCTCTGCCTCTTTACAACTTTGTCTCCCTTTGCTGCTTAAATGTTGGCTCTGGTGCTGCTGCTGCGAAGTCTCTTGTGTGGAGCTTCCAGAAACCCCCTTTCTATAGTGTAGGAAAAAGCCACTCTCGTGGACTGGCAGCCAGGGGTGCCCACGACCAACGACGTGAAGGGGGCGGTTGGGGGGGGTTACTCAGAGTAAACTGGAAGGTAGTTGACAGTCTGTGGCACAGATCACAGCCTCCAGAGGATGGGGATCTGGCGATGCCAGTGGGGGGGGGGAGGGGGCAGGAGGGAGCATTAATTAATGAGATGTAACTTCAAAGTTACTTTTTACTCTGCCATAGGTTTTTTTTGTTTTTTTTTCTGCCATAGGTTTTTTTTTTTTTTTTTCTGCCCTAGGTTTTTAGCCAGGAAATAAATCCTACTGTTTCTGCTTCAAGCCATTTTGCCCACCTCCCCCACAACCTGGTTACCCAGACTGGTCAAATAATGTCCTTTTTTCTCTGATTTCACTTAGGTGCTTCTTCCAAACAGGGTGATTTCAGGCTTAGAGGAATTTCTTATTACTTGGCCACAGAGGGCCTGCTCTTCTGCATTGCTTGATATTGCTACTTTAAGAAAAACAAGGCATAAATGGAATTTCATAGCAATCTGTTGTGTATGTGGAATTGCTATTAGGAGTTCATAAATCTCTTTCTTGAGGAGGCGAAATGGGAGGCGTAAGGGCAGGGAAAGATGAGCTTACAAAATGCAGCTCTCTGGTCAGGGAGCAAGCACAGGTTTGCAAAGAGCAAAAAAACGAGGGTCCAGGAATGAACATCTACGTTTTGAAGCGCAAGAGGCAGGGGAGGCTCTGCGGAGCTGATAGGAACAGTGATGCGATGCACAGACACAGATGCAAACTTGGTACGTGGAGCAAATGAAGGTGACGTGTGCTTCTTTCTACCTCCCAGAAACAAGCAAAGGGCCACTCAGGTGAGCTCAGACGTACTCTCCTGAAAAAGTGGACTTCTTTTTCTCGTGCCTGGAAGGCATCGTGATTTGATCCCATGAATTCTTAAAGAATGAGAATACAAATCAAGGCAGTTGCAGCAAAGCGGGGCATCAGTGCGCGGGGGGGAAGCCTGAGATGCCTTAAAATGAAGGGCCACGGAGCATGCCCGTGGAGCTTGCTTGGCACAGCACGCAGGACGGCTCCACCGGGTGCATCTTAGCAAATGTGAGTCCTCCAAAGACATGCTTTCGTGCCTAAAATGCAGTACACGTTTATGAAACGTACTCGATTCTGATCAACTCTGCAGCGCTCCTGAGATAGAAAAACTTGCCGGATCTCTTCCCAGCTTTCACACCCTAAAGGGAAGGGGGGGGGGGGAACAACTTTTAGAACTACCACGCTGAACTTTGATGCTAGCCTCAGAAAGTTAGTGCTTAGTCTCACATCTCTTATGTAAACTGGGAGGCGCACGATTTCATTTCAACTTATTAAGTCAATTACCTGAAAAATAGACACCAAATTACAATGTATACTGTTTTTTTCCCACTCTATAGAGAATCAAAATGTCACAGGTAGGTGGGATACAACAGAATTTAAAAAGTTTTCTGCTTATGAATGATACATAATTTCAAATGACTCATAGCACTTGTTGAAACAAAGTATCCAACCTGGCTGACTCATAATAACGCTGACACTGGAGTTTCAAATAGAGTTTCCATAATAACAAAAATTGACCCAACCTATGCTTTGCAGAGAGTTATCTTGACCATAACAAATTGGTGATGATCAAGCTATCAGTCATCCGAACAAGCGATGGATACTGTCCCAGGGTAATGCACTCGATGACCTAGCTCCATCTGGAAGCTCCACGGGCACGGCTTTCGTAACTTGAACAGAATGCTATGGGATGCATTTAAAAATCTTTTAAAATGCAGGCTCTATTGTCAAGCTCTGATGAAAAAGGAACGCTCTTTATTCACCTATAATTTTGAAAATGGCCTCATTTATTCTCCAAGTACATTCGAGACATTTTGGATAATTGAAGAATACTGTATTTCTTAAAAAACAAGGTGTGAGAAATGTCGATATTATTTGTTTCATCTCTTCCTGCTCCCACAGAGCCCGAGGAGATTGTACAATGGATTGGATTTTTCACTTTGGTGTCTTTTCAAGGAGAGGGTCTCAGAACAGAAAAATAGAGCCCTAAATAATTGAGACTGATTCACACTTACCAGCTCGCAACCGTGTTCTACTTACTAATTTGCAACACCTTTACGGAATGTCAGACCCCCTCCGTCGCAGCTCCCTCTGCCAGTATGGAAGATGGAGATATTACTTGCACAACAGAACTTCAAAGGGGAGCACTTCAGAAACAGACTGAGGACTCTTTGCATTTTGTCTTCATTTCTAAAAGAGGAGAGAGACTCGTGGAGGGAGGTTAGCAGGTTAGCTTTTATTTCAAGTCCTGTATTCATATCCTTGAGCTTCACTGTCATTATAAACCCTTTGGCCTTGTGAGGAGAGCACCCATTACTTTTTCCCCCAAAGGAAACTTCTGGGGGAGGAACTGCAAAGTCCTGAGGAGTGGTAAGCATCTCCTAAGATCTGATTCTTCTAGTCTTCTAGAGTTCTAATACCATCATCTGTACATTGGGTCAGTAATTGCCTAGAACCCACTATGTGCCAATGAGAGCGTAGAATAAAAACGAAATGGCACCTGGCATTACAGAGTGCACTCGGGTAGCAGGAGAGAAAGTTTCAGAATAAGCAAGTCCTTCGTTAATTGCAGGGCATGAAGGGTCAGGGGGGAAGCGAGGGGGTGGAGGGCGAGGGGGATGCTCATTGGCGCAGATCGGGTTGGGCACCTGAGGAGGTGACACTTACCCTGAGATCTGAAGGATGGAGCAGATCTGGCCTCCTGCCAGCAGGAGGAGGCATTTTCAGGGAAGGAAGTGGAAGTTGGAGGCCCGAGGCTGTGTGAGGACCTAGGGGGTCCGAGTCAGCAGGAACCCTGTTCTCTCTTCTTCTCCTTCTTATCCCCCCATCTCCCTCTGCTCCTCAGGAGGACGCCAAGTCAGACTCAAGTCAGGTGAGGGTGTGGGGTGCCAAGTGCAGTAGGGTTGAGAGCAGCCCTGAGAGGGTATGTGTGTACACATGCCCCTTAGCGTGTGCAGGTGTGTGCTTTCCCAGGAGGGATCTATCCTTTGCTGTGCCACAAGTTGCCTGGTAGACCTGGAATCTCTGTGCCACCTGCTTGTTCTTATGTAAGTTACTCCACAATGTGAGTGGCATCTCTTTAGATGTGGTGCAGTGCACGACTTGAACACCTGTACACAGCTGCCCTGGGGGTGAGGGAGGCATCAGGGATGGTGCAGCGTTCTGACTTGTGCTACTGGCAGTGCCATAACTGAGCTCGGGAGAACTGGAGGCCACAGTTGAAGAAAAGAGGAGGACTATCCCCCCCCCCCAATGTGGCTATTTTTTTCCAGTTACACTGTGTAAAATGTCACAGGGGTAGTGGGCAGTCTCACTTTGTCCCTTTATCCTTTAAACCCAATAGGAGTACACAAGTCAGAAGCAAGCTCCAGCACCGTTGTGACTATCATATGGGTGGACCATAGGATCTGGGTCAGACTGCTTTGGTTTCTGCTGGGCCTCTCCATCTGCCAGCCGGTAGGCCCCTGACCCTTCTGAGCCTCAGCTTTGCCATCTGTAAAGTGGGAAGTTCACATGGCTAGTAAGTGGAGACACTTGGGTTAGAACCCGGGTCTTTGTGACTCCCAGGTCCTGCTTTCTATCATTTTACCTTGTGTCTGGATTCGCATACCCATTCTCAGTTGGGGGGAGGGATCTTCTTTAAAGCAAACATTTAAATGTTACTTTTTTATTCCTACAAAAGAAATCTAAGTTTTTCCAAGCAAGTAAATTTTAAATACAGAATTTCAAAATTTTGATTAGAGAATATCAAGTATCTCCTCTTGGTCTATGTGACATATGGTAACGATTTGCAAGTTATTCCAAACTATTTCTATCCTTTGTTATAGGAAGTTAAGTAAAGAAATGGCTTCATTTTTACCTTGTTGAAATGTGGTCAGCTGGAATGAGATGTATATGGCCCAAGAGTACAGGACAGTTGTAACCAAACTCATGTTTTATATATTCTGATTCTTTTATTTATGTGTTTTAAAGTGTTATTATTTTATGTTTTGGAGCTGATAAAGCTTGGCAAAGAGTGTTTAGATTTTGGGAGATTCCGAGAACTTTCAAAATAATGTCAATGCTACCTGGAAAAAAGAGTTAATGGCACAAGAATGGTCCATTCAACCTTCATCCCATGGTGAGAAAGATCTATCTGTAAACCAGTTAAGTATATATGTATTGATGGAATTATTGATATTAAATATGTTTTTAATGGAATCATTGATATATATATTTTAATGGATATCATTAAATTATGTTTTAATGGAATTAAATATATATATATATATTTAATAGAATCATTGATATTTTCATGGCTTCACCACATTTTCTTATCTAGGATGGTGATGTGCTGAGAGCTCATGGGTTATCCCAGACAAGAAAATATGGTGATAGTTTCTGATACACCTGCAGAGGTGCGGTCCAACTCAGGCTTCATCTCCTCCCTGGAGTCTGGGTCAGTCAAGGGGGGAGTGACGTTGTCTTTCCTGCAGGCCCATAGGTTTGGTTTCTACCTCAGCTGTAGGACTGTGTGGTCTGCCCTGTAGTGTGAACAGAGGTACGTATCCTCACTAGATTTTGGGTTCGAAGAAAAAAAAATTGACGATATCTTTAGCCTTTCTTTATTCCTTAGAATAATACCTTAAACAGAATGATTCCTCAACAAATACTTATTGAATTTGAATTTCAAATTTATTCTCTATTAATAGATTCAATCAGTGATAAGCCCAAAATTTGTATCTCAAGTTTAAGCAGAGATATGCACCAGATCAATCAAGAGTTCTGATTACCAACTACAGAAATCGATTCTGATTAACTTCAAAGAAGAGGAATTTATGGGAAGGACATCAACAGTGCACAGAACCACGGAGAAGGCTGGCAAAAACAGTCTTGGCAAGTGAGCAAGAAGTGCAGGAGCGGGAAGCCAAGAACACCGAGATCACACTACAAGGAACATCCGACTGGGCCTCCCCCACTGACACTTGTCTGTCTGTGCACCTGCCATTGCCACCCCTTGGCTCCTAACTGCTGCCCTCGTGCCTAACAACCTGTTACTTAGGGTCACTCCCTAAAAATGGAAATCCATGGACAGGAACGGTCAGTCAGCTGGGACTAGGTGTGTGCTGTATCTTGGCTCCTGGGAAATAGGGAGGGGAGCACGTCTGCATCCTGCCTCAGTTCCTTTCTGGGAGGCAGGGACCTCACAATGGAGAATTTCACCAAGATATGAAGGGTGTTATCAGAGTGGAGAAGTGGAGGGAGGAAGAGAGGGAGGAAGGAGGAAGGACAGGAGGAGCAGGAGGAGGAGGAGCTGCAGTAGGAAAATCAGGAGGAAGAGGGGAGAAGGAGAAGAAGAGAGGAAGAGAAGAAAAGGGGAGAAAGGAGGAAGAGCACGAGGAGGAGGAGGAGGAGGAGGGGGACGAGAGGGCAGTGGGTACAGCAGTGTCCATTAGGTTAGGGAGGAAATTTTGATTTTATCCACCATGTTTTTTTAAAGCAAGTCGAACCAACTCTTCAAAAACATGTGAGCTTTTTCTGAATACATTTATCTAAAAAAAAAAAAATCTAAATGGTTTGTGTGAGTAGAAACAGCTTAAGTAACAATTTAATATAAGTGACAGATTCTGCATTAACAATACAAAATCCTAGAAACTTGAAACATTTAATGAAACTGAAATATAAAGAGTCAAAGTTGTTCTTTATTTCAATACTAATAAGGAGGGAACTGTTTTAGAATAGAAATCAGAAAATTAGTTATTAACTAGAGAGTTATTAATTAGGTCCCAGTAGTTGAAACTGATGAGCTGTGTAATAAATGCTCTCGTATGTGATGCCTCTACCTGGTTCACACTGGGAGATAAAGACCATCTGTGACACTCTTAAGTGGATACATCCCAAAGCGTGTTCATATATTGGGAGCATGAGTTATAAATCATTTTGTTTTCTCACACAAAATAAAAAATTCTCTCCCTAGGGCAGAAATGATTCGCTCATTAGGATCATAATGATTGTCTGTGACTTGCATCTAGGTTAAAAACTCCCCCTTAATACCTTTCACTTTCTCGCAGTCTTTGTGAATTCGTTATTTTAATGTTTCTAAATAGTTCGCTTGACTCTGTGCCTCTGCGCACTCCTGGAACCCCAGTGACCCTTTCCTTTCAAAATAGGGCCTTATCTTATTTATGCCATATCGGTTTTAAGTCATGTCCCAGAAAGATTGAACACTATTCAGATAAAATAACATGCTGTAAAAAATACCACCAATTCAGGGTTAAGTTTTTTTTTGGAAGTGGGTACATCCAAATTCCCACGGTGTGATTTATTCATCATATCCTAGAAATAACAAAAGCAAATACTTAAAAAATTGAAATTGCCATTCATCTTGCTCATAGGATATATTTTTCTTCAAATTCTAATTATATGTAGGACTTCCAAGGCGCACGAGATGGTATTTCTTTGGTAAATAGTGACGCAAGTCATCAATACCATGAGTAATCGTACTTTACATTCCATAAAGGGAAATTAGACCATCACCAAAAAGGCACTCTATGGCCCTAATGGTGATACGCACATAAACTGTCATCATCTTAACAAAAGATTAAAGCAGCCTGACGTTTGATGGTCACACGGCAGAGGGAAGAACAGGTGTCTCAAAGGAATAGGAACAATAAATTTTCAGGGAGTGGCAATTGGACTGTACAAACGAAATGCCTAGTCTTAGGATTTAATCAAAGCAATGAGTCAAATCATTAGACTGAACAACCCGATGGTTACCTTTGACTGTTTGTAAATTGAGCTGTCTCGTAAAAGGGCTTTTCATGTACATTTGAGAAGTTTAATATTGCTCAAATACATTTTAAAGTGCAAGCTGGTTGTCCTTTTTAGCCAAATGGTAGAGAAAAATCCACATGTGCAAATAAATGACAAAGATTTATGTAGGCTCAGTTCTGGCAGGTTTTAATGCAGGTAGTGAGGTTTTTGTTTTTTTTTTTTAAAGCCTATTACATATTTTAGCAGGAATGAGTGACTTAGAAAAGGTCAGATATGACAGGAAGTGTAAATTTGAGTCAAAATTTCTTGAAGGCAATTTGTCGATACATGTCTAAATCCTTAGCTTTATTTTTGCTCCAAGGAGTCCACTTTGAGGGATGTATATTCAAGACATAATAATGAATTTGTGTGAAGATTGTGCCAGGGGGTTATTCACTCCAGCATTGTTTATAAAAGTGGAAAATTATTAATTAAGTGTCCACCATCAGAGCAAGGGCTGGAGAAACTGGAATCTTCAGATATTGCCGGTGGGAATGTACAATGGGTTAGCCACCGTAGAAAACAGTTGGGTGGTTTTTTAAAAAGTTAAACGTAGAATTACTGTACAACCCAACAATTCTATGTTATTCTATGCTTGGTCCTAGCAGTATTGCTCACAATTGCCCAAAGGGGAAAGCAACCCAAATGTTTAACAGCAGAAGAATGGACACACAAAACGTGGTCTAGCCCTACAACGGGATACTGTTCAGCTGTCAAAAGGAACGACACATGCTACAACGGGGATGAACCTGAAAAACATGACACTCTGTGCAAGCAGCCGGACACAAAAGGTCGCGCATTGAGTGATTCTGTTTTCATGAAATATCTGGAATAGGTAAGTCCACAGACATAGAAAACAGACCAGTTGGTTACCAGGGGCTGGCAGAAAGAGGGAACGGGGTGGGGTGTGTGTGTGTGTGACGGATCAAAGGTCCAGTGTTTCCTTTAGGGTAATGAGAATGGTTTGGAACCAGAGGGGATGACTGCACCCTGCATTGTCTTGTATTAAATGCCCCTGAACTGCTCACTTTCAAGAGGTTAACTGTTAACTTTATGTTATGTGAATTTTTCCTCAGTATAAAAAGAATGGTGATGGAGAAAAATCTCTCATGCTAAGGGAAAATGTTCACGATCTATTTAGTGGGGAAAAAAGTGTAAAAGTAGGTAAGAAAATAGTAGATATAGGAATTAATTGTACTTGTGCATATATATGTCTATATGATTATACACAAAACCACTAACAGCGATGGTTCTTGGTGGATTTAGGGGATTATGTGGTAGGATTATGGTTGATTTAACTCTTTTCTTATCTGTATTTCCAAATATCTCATAAATAGTGTGTAATACTTCGTATTAAGGAAAAAATGTCCAGGGGCGCCCGGCTGGCTCAGTCGCTGGAGCATGTGATTCTTGATCTTGGGGTCATGAGTTCAAGCCCTACGCTGGGCGCAGAGCTTACTTAATTAAAGAAAAGAAAGACTGTTTAAGCTGTTTAGAAGAAAAAAAATGTACAGGTAATATAATAAAAACAGGAGTCAAACATTAGGATTAAGTCCAGGAGTCACAGAGCGCCGCCATACAACCCAGGAATGCCCAGAATAATTTTTCCATAAGCTCATTTGTATTACTGAGCAAATTATGTCCCGTGAAACATCACAGCACAGTGAAAAGCCGGATATATTGTGCTGAACAAACGAGTTAGGATCTCCAGAGTGCTCCACTGTGCTTCTGCTCAAAGACTTAAACCTTTTAGTTGAGATGATATTGAGGCGATTACGGTAACACAATTGCGTTACATGACTTTTGAATGCACTCAAAAGAAATATGCTTACCAGAAATATCACATTAAGAAAATAAACCCACATACTGCATTTAAATATTCCTTTAATAAAGATATAATTTACTTAACATCATTAAGACAGCTTGTTCTCTTATTCACGAAGTATATAAAAATGTGATCAATTTAACCAGGATGAAATAAAATATGACATTTTATTTACCATTGTTCCACTGTTTTCACATTGCCATTTGAAGAAAGCCACCCGAATGAAAATATCTACATTTTCATGCTTTAAGAAAACTCGATAAAAATGCAAGCATAACACAGAGAAACCACATGACCAGCAATAGCATTACTAAACCAAAGACTACATTATTTTATCACAGAATGAACTCTTTCGATGCATTTTGAAAATTTCAGTTTTTCTGCCTGTACAGGGTCACTCCAGAGTAACTTTAAGCTTCTGTCTGTATCTGCAATTATTTGTCTAGATGTTACTAATCGTTATCATGAAGGTCCTCCTTTGATCACATCTGGTTTTCATTTTTATGAGCGGAGCCTGATATCTGCCCCCTTAACGAGGCTTTGAGGAGGAGCCACCATAGTCCAGGCCAGGAGCCCAGTGCCTGGTGCACTGATAGCCCCTGGTCTCGCCCTTGGGTCACCCGTGGGACGCCTGGTGCCAGGAACAGCAATGGCATACAGCAGGCGCTTGAGTATCAGCTCGAGGAGGAGCCTGAGTGAATCTGGAAATGCACACTAGAGACTCCCCCAGGGTCAAGCGCTGGCTGTGCAGGCTTGCACGTTACCAAATGGCAGATGGCTGTGAACTGACACTGAACACCTACCACATTCTGAGCACTGTTCCAAGCGCTGTGCACGCACCGAATGGTTCCCCCCTTGGAAAGGTCCATCGATCTATCCACCATTGTCCTCACTTTCTAGATGAGAAAATTGAAGTCCAAGGGATTTCAATAACTTGCTTGAGGGCACACGTAGTGACTCCTGGAGGTCACACCTGCTTGCCAAGGGTGAGAGGGGAGAGGAGAATGGTGAGGAGGAAGGTAGGTCCTCGGGGACTTCCTCCCCGAGTTCCTTCCTAAACATTCAGCCAACCGAGAGTGCTTCGGGAGGACACCGCTCCCAGGGTCAAGTGATCAAAAGAGGTTAGGCCAGGGCACTTGGTATTTAGGAAGGGGGGAGTCTTCCTGGGAACGCCTCGGTCAGGTGGGGAGGGCTGGGCTGAGACTGCGACCAGGCTTTGGAGGCCCCGTGTCTGACTTCTCTCTACAAGAGGCTTGGGGTGCAGGGCATGTGTGAACTTGTTTCCAAGTGGGGAGGAAATTGGTGGGGAGAGTATTTTAGACCATGACAAGGTCAGGACAGAGGTGCTGGGGCGAGCAGAGTCACAGAGAGGCTGCAGGCCTACGGGGGGCTGGGGCCCCAGGATGGCGCTCGGCCGAGGTGGAGGGAGGACGTGGCCCCTCAATAGGGCAAATGGAGCAGGCTTTCCAGAACGCTGGCTGGGACTTCAGGGGCCCTGCGACCAAAGGCAGCCCAGAGCCGCGATGAGGGCCCTGGTGTCACCATCAGACCGTTGCCCACCCCAGAGAATCACTCGAATGGTGGCTTCTAATCAGAATGATGGGGAGTTTTCATCTTTTTTTTTTTTAAAGATTTATTTACTTATTTATGATAGACATAGAGAGAGAGAGAGAGAGAGAGAGACAGAGGCAGAGACACAGGAGGAGGGAGAAGCAGTCTCCATGCTGGGAGCCCGACGTGGGATTCGATCCTGGGACTCCAGGATTACGCCCTAGGCCAAAGGCAGGCACCAAACCGCTGAGCCACCCAGGGATCCCGCGGTGTTTTCATCTTTGTTGAACCCCAGACAGTGTGATCTGGGGCAAGGCGGGAGGGGAGAAGAGTAGGAAAAGTTCACAGTGGATTCTGTGGGCATGGACACCCCACAGTTACTTAGGCATCTCACTCGGCAGCTCTCTGCTCCAGGTGAGTGGAACTTGTTTTTTTCTATTCAGGGAGTTTCCTTTTAAAATGAATTTATTTAGGAAAAATCAATAAGTCTGCTGTGGGGAAAATGTAAAGTGACTAGTGGGAGAGATGATATAGGGACATGGCAAACGTCGTGAAGGCGGGGTGGAAATGGGAGTCTGGACAATACTGAGGCTCAGGGGGTATATTTCTTCATTAAAATCATTTAAAATTCCATGTTTTAAAGAAATGTACATTAATTGCTTCACCTGCGATGCTGGAAACTGGCTAGATGGTGCCAAATCTCAGCCAAAACCAATACCCGCCCCGAGAGAAGAGGGGCTGAGGCCCTGGCTGGATTTCCAGATGAGTGTTGGCAGAGATTGTGGCCTGAAGAAGCATCCAGCCCTGCTGGAACATGTGGATTTGCAGCTGTGCACCCAACAGGTTTCATACTATTAAAAAAAAACCCCAAAACCCAAATGAAACAGCTACAATTTTTAATGTTCCTTTCTGGGCAATATATCATTTCATCTGACTCTACATTTGTAAGGCATTGCAAAAGGAAGTGGAAAAATCTTTGCTCTAATGGCTGAAAAGCAGAAAAAACCAACTGGTAGAGTTTTATCTGCGTCTTCTATGGCAGACATTATTGGGTCTCTTGGTGGCACCCATGCCTTTTGCTGGTTATGAAATTAATTATAGATACTGAGACTTAATGGGTATGACAAATGCCAGCTTCTTCTTCTTCTTTTAAGATTTTACTTATTTATTCATGAGAGACACACAGAGGCAGTGACACAGGCAGAGGGGGAAGCAGGTTCCCTGTGGGGAGCCCGATGTGGGACTCAATCCCAGGACCCCGGGATGACGACCTGAGCCAAAGGCAGTTTTTCCGCCACTGAGCCACTCAGGTGCCCCTAAATGCCAGCTTCTCATTAGATTTTAACCTTCCTTTTTGGCTTCCCTTGAAATACTGAGTTGACTAACCAATCACCCTCATTTAACTCTAGGAAACCAAAGAATAGTTGCCGTGTAGAGATGCAAAGATGGTAAGTTCCAGAACTCTTTTCCTTCTATAGGACATTCATGGGCTGCATAATCAGCTTTAGAAGTTATGGACATAGGATGAAAATATAATTCTAACCTATTGTGGGAGTAGAGGCCTGTGTTGTAACATTAGGTTTACTCATATATGGAGCAAACTACCTTTTTCTCTTCACTTTTTTTCTATTCACTTCACTTTCAAGTTTCTCCTGGTGAAGTATCATTGATGCTGAAAACCAGAACCCTTGGAACAAGATATTCTACGCTGGTGTCTTCTGGATCCCTAGTGGGATCATTGTACCACAGTTGAAAGCTCTCAGGTCCAAGAGTAGTGAGATGGAACGTTCCTGGGCACAGAGTGAGGCATAGTTGCATCAAAAATGAATCTACTTGAGACACAAATTACTTTCCTACTCCACCTGCAAGATTTATAAAGATATTGAGTCTCTTTGCAGTGCCTAAGTCCAAAATAGAGACATTTCGATCTATTTTTTTAAATATTTTTTTTATTTATGATAGTCACAGAGAGAGAGAGAGAGAGAGAGAGAGAGAGAGAGAGAGAGGCAGAGACACAGGCGGAGGGAGAAGCAGGCTCCATGCACCGGGAGCCTGATGTGGGATTCGATCCCGGGTCTCCAGGATCGCGCCCTGGGCCAAAGGCAGGCGCCAAACCGCTGTGCCACCCAGGGATCCCAACATTTCGATCTATTATGAGGGAAAAGCATCGTTCAAAATGAAAATTTCCTGTATAAATGAAGATTCTGATAAAAATCCACCAACCTAACATTAAAAAGGTAAATCAAAAGACACAAATCTTGATTTTTTTTGGGGGGGGGTGTCTTATCCTCTAGACCATTTTTTAAAACATCAAAATTGGCTATATACACAGAATCAAAAATAAGATCTTTCAAAAATAAGATCCTTGATTCCTTGTGTTATGAAATGGATAGGAAACAAATTTCAAATGGCATAAAAACACTAAATCTGATTTTACAGCACTTCCTTCAAACTGCTAA